AAAAAAAAAATCAAGGAAGAAAAGACGGGCACAAATAGATGTACCATAGGCTCAGAATACTGGCAGAATTGTGTGATGACCTGAGCCTGCTGAGTTGGAACACACAATGCTGGGCCTGTGGTGACATTTAAGTCTTGGCCGAGATGATCTTCATTTGTGGCATCAACAGATATTTATGGAGCAGTCACCATGTCTAGGACCTGTGCAGGAAGCAGTAAGACCATAGACATAGAGTGAGTAAGCACCTTAATCTGTGAGTGAAATAGAGGCAGGAGGCCTGGCAAATGCAGTCAGGGTGGTGAGACAGGGTTGTAGGGAGTTGTATTGGAAAGACGGACTGGAGAGAAAGCAGGGAGACCTCTTCATGGCGGGTGGTGGCAAGACTGAAGGATCTAGAAGGGGAAGGACTGGGGAAGAGAAAGGTAGGCAGCTTTGTAAAGTCCCTGAGATGACAGTCAGCCAGGTATGCTCAGAGCACAGTCAGAGGTCTCTGAGTCCGTGTCCCAAGTAAGGAAGTGCTGAACAGCAGCAGGTGTGCAGCGTGGAAAGGTGTGGCTGCCTGGCAAGGAGTTGAGGTTTTATCCTCAATGTAATGGAGAATGTGGAGGGGGGGACTCAGAACTGAATTCTGTGTCAGCAGACGTCTTCTTAGTCTGATTGCATCGCAGCCACTGAAGCTTGAGGAAGTTTGACACAGGTGGGTAAGAATGGACCCTAAAGACAGGTGGGTGGGGACAACTCTTGAGCAAGGGTGGTGACCTATAAGTGTCAGAAGCGCTGGCTTCGGCTTCTACTTGGAAGTAGAAGCAGCACTAATTGCTTGATGTGGGTGTGAGAGAAGAGGAGTGTTCAGGATGTTCCGTTCACTCCCATATTTGTTCTGAGTCGTGGGTAATGGTGAGAGAATTCTGGTTGGAGAAAGCAAAAAGGAAGGAAAAGTGAAGAGTCTGGCCAGAATGGATTCCTTTTATTATTCCTGATGCATCCTTGTAGATTAGCAACAACATTATTGTTGTTGTTAATAGCCATGGAATCGATTCCCACTCATAGTGACTCTGTATAGTGTTTCAGAGGAGTGGCTGGTGAGTTTGAATCACTGATCTTGTGGTTCACACTGACCCTGGAGTTCACTTCATTACCCAACAGTGCCACACCAGGACTCCAATGAATTACAAAGCCTGAGGAGAGGGAGGGTCTGGATCTGATACAAATTTAGAGGTCATTGACATATGGTTTTGTACTTTCTCTCTGATGTTGTTGTTGTTGTTGTTATGTGCCCTGGAGTCGGTTCTGACTCGTAGCGACCCTGTACAGGGTTTCCGAGGCTGTAAATCTTTACTGGAGCAGAAAGCCTCATCTTTCTCCCGCGGAACAGCTGGTAGTTTCGAATTGCTGACCTTAAGGTTCACAGCCCGATTCGTAACCACTACACCACTACGCTACCAGAGCTCCTTGTGGCTTTCTTTGAGTGGAATCATTACCATAATCCATGCTGAAGTAGTGATTTTGTCCATTGCAAATGTTCTGTCTTTGGAGGAGATCAGCAGGGAGTCCTGGTGTGGTGCTGCGGGTTAATGTGCGAGATTGCAAAGTCGTTTTGAGCGGTTCAAGCTCACCAGCTGCTCCTCAGAAACCCTATACAGGGTCACTATGAGTCAGAACTGACTCGATGGCAAACAACCACCACCACCACCATCACATGCACAATAAACTTCAAGAAGAAGGTCTGTGTATCCTCCCTCACTGAACAGAGCACACCCACTTTTCTCATGTCTCACACAAGTTTGATGATTGCTTCTCCTTTCAGTTAACCTAAATCCTTGGCCCTAGCTGGTCCACAGGAATTCTAGGGACACAGTCAACTCCTGTTGCTGTCGCTGCCACTGCCCCAAGTCTTACCTGAGTCTGGGTGACCTGCAATGGAAGAGGAGTATGTGAATGAGTGTGTTTGTGTGTTGGTGTGAGTTTTGAGGCATTAGTGGATATCACCTGTCTGAGACACAAACAAAGCCAGTTTTCTCAATGATTTCCAGGGCAGCCTAGTGAGAGGTGTGCCCCAGCCTGGGTTACTTCCTGGCTGGATTTGTTTTCTTTTTCAGTGGCATTGGACCGCAAGATTGGTTTGAATGGCAAGGTTAGCAGTTCAAACTCACCAGCCGCTCCTCGGAGACTGTATACAGGGTCACATTGAGTTGGAACTGACTTGACAGTACTTAACAACATAATTAAGGAGTACTGGTATCACGCTGTAGGACAAGCACTGGACTACTAACCAGTAGTAGTTCAAACTTACCATCTATGCCTTGGAAATGCTACACAGGGTCACTTTGAGTTTGGAATTGACTTGATGGCACTTAACAACTACAAATGTGGTTCAGAGGTAGAATTCTCCCCTTCTTTGCTGGAAACCTGTGTTTGATTCCTAGCCACTACACCCCAAATGCAGCTGCCGCTCGTCTGTCAGAGGAGGTTTGTAGATTGCTGTAATGCTGAACATGTTTTAGTGGATATTCCAGACTAAGATGGGCTAGGCCTGGTGATTTACTTTCCAAAATTAGCCAACAAAATCCCAATCAATCCCAAAGATTGTCTGCAACCAATCATGGGGAAGGTGTGAGAATGAACAATGTTTATTTAGTTCCATTGTGTCAGACTGACTGGATGACAGTTAACAATGTTGTTGTTAAGTGCCTTTGAGTCAGTTTTGACTCATATGACCCTGTATAGAGTTTCTGAGGAATGGTTGGTGAGTTGGAACTACCACCAAATTTGAGGTAGCAATATAGTAAAGGAAGGGGAAAAATGATTTTCACTGAAGTCTTATTAATATATGAATGCACATATATTATGTGAATTTTCAGCTGAATGCATGTTTCAAAAGTGAGACTTTATTGCAAACACCAGCCACAAAAAGAGACAGAACATTCTTAGCTTCTAGGACCTCCTTCACGTCCCCTTCTTGGCACTGCTCCCTGCAAAGGCCAGCATGACCCTGATTTTCTAACCCCATGGATTAGTTTTACCTACCTTCCTACTTTATTTAGTGGCTTCATTTAGCATGTCCTGTGTCTAACCTAATGATCCCAGGTGGAGCTGTCAATTAGGCATTTGGCCACTAACTGCAAGATAGGCAGTTCAAACCCACCAGCTGATCTTTGGGAGAAAGTTGAGGCTGTCAGCTCCAGTAAAGATTTGTAGTCTTGGGAACTATGAGTCAGAATTGTCTTGATGGCAGGGGGTTTGGAGTTTATTTTTACTGTCTGACCAGCACATTTGATTGATCCATTGTCCGGTTAGGCTTACTGTAATGTAATGGGTGCTGGTTATGGTGTGCAGCATTGGTTGTATGTGTATGCTACACCTTATATAGTCATTGCATTGTCGATGTGAACACCAGTTGATGTAGCTGTTAGGAAGACTGCTTCTGGAGAAATTCATTGCATGTCTTTGGGGCACCTATGTATGCATTTTTGCTGATTATAAACCTATAGAAAAATTGAACATATGTATATCATTCTTTATGTTAAGTGTTGTCAAGGCAGTTCCAACCATAGCAATCCTGTATAGGGTTCCCAAGGAGCAGCTGGTGGGTTTGAACTGCTGACCTTGTGGTTAGCAGTCCATTGCTTATCCTAGAGTGCCATACCAGAATATATACATACTTATTTATATTTGTGCATATATTCTAGTCTTTTGTCCACTTCTGTATTTGGTTCTTGCCTTCTGATTTCTGGAAAGTAATTATTTCATAGCAGTTTCTAACATTTCTTCTAAACAGAGGTTTTCTTGGATGTTTTTAATGGACTTGGAGATGGGCCGCACAATTTGTAAAAAACATGAAGAAGACATTGAGAACTGCCCCTTGCAAGAAGGCCAAGGAGAGAAAAAGGTTTGAGATTAAACTCCATCAGTAAACAAATGATATATCTTGTGGGAATGAAAAGTAAGACTTCAGAGGGGCTTTAGGAGGTAGCTTAGTAAAATCACCCAGGGATGGTCCTGAAGCAGAAGGAGGGTTCCAGATCCCTCTCTAGTAGGTTTTAGGGTACTCTGTTAGAAAGACAGAGTGGTTATTTTAAACATATGGACATGGCTTTAGGGTTAGTCGTAAAACCTCTGCCTACAGCTATGTGGGCCAACCAGAGGTGACTTGCCAAGACCACAAGACCTTCTTCTCCAAACTGAACCTTCTCTACAAGTCCCTGTCTTTTCCCTTCCTAGGCCCCTGGTGTGCAGGCATATGTTTCTTACTCTTTTCTACTGCTGTTTGGAATTGGAGACTGCTTAGTTTACCTGGTCATCAAGCCTCCCCTTATAATTTCCTGGGTCTCAAAGAAAGTTTCCAGCCTGCTAGAGCTCTAATTGTCAACATCTTATGATCTGGCAATTGACATGGGATTCCAAAGGTGGAGGGTGGGTCTCATCAAAGCTGGTCTCACTTTGCCAACCTGCAGTCTTGGGGGTGCCTCTCTTTGGGGCTGTTTTACAATTGTTGTCCAGTTGTCGGGTGTCTTGCTGGGTCACGAGGGGGATTCTTGAAGCATCATATGCAGAGGGAGGTTTGGAGGGGACAGGAATCTTTCATGGTCAGGATACACTCCAAACAGGCTCCCTCTTAGAAGTTCTCAGGTTCAATTGGTCTGATTCAGCCCCTCCTGCTCCAGATTCCTGTGGTTCCTGAACCAGGATACTGTACTTTCTTTTAATCATTTTATAGTTCAAATGCATTTTGAGGTCCTACTATGTACAGCAGGCTAAATACTCCCAATGTAACACATTTTTTAGTCTAATTTAATCTCTTACAATTATTTTCCTTCAGGTACGCTGTACTTTCCTTGTGGATGCCATTCCTATGGTTACCAAATTCACTCTCCTGAACAGTACCTGCATAGACAAGTAGGTGGAAAAGGAGCCCCTGATGTTTCATAGCGGAGTTTACCTTTCCTCTCAAGAGCAGTATCTGTGCAGGCACCTAAGCAATTAAAGACATCTCAAAGCATGTTCTGGGTCTCTGAGAAGATCTGTACTCTCCCTTATCATCTAATTTCCATGGACATCACTATGCAGGGATAAGTGATGGATATTTTTGATCATCATTATTATTATTTTGGGTGTAGATGCCATGTATGTGGTAAATCAAACTCCCTAAGTCATGCAAAACAGTTGTTCATGTACACCTCCTCTATCCACCCACCCCACTTAGGTTAGTTTCATTCATTCATTGTTTCATTGTTGTCATCCATTCTTGGAATTCTCCATGTCCCTCATCCATTCTATTTAAAAGGGATGCAGGAAATTTTTCCAGTGATCAACCCTTTCATCCCATTTCCTTCTATCTTAGGGAGTTGGGCTTACAGATGGTAGCTGTTCTCTGGAATGACACAGGGGTGAGGATGGGTAACGGGTAGACAGAGGCTCTGCTATCCCTGGGGCTGCCTGGGTGACAGAAAATCTGCCACAATGGCCTCTGATGACCTAAGGAGATGGCAGTTCAACTCAGCATGTCTCCACTGCTCCTGGTGTATGCATTACCCACCTGGGCCCAGCCTAGCCTCCATGCTGTTAACACTACTCATTATCCCTGGTCAGGCATGGTGAGGATAGACATCATCCTCATGTGAAACTTTCTCTTTTCAAGTCCTGGAGGAAAGCAGGACTTGGAGTGAACAAAAATGGTGGGTATGTGCTTTGTGGGGGCACAAGTGAGGTGAGGGGCAGGGGCAGTGGGCCCTGGAGGATACTTCAGGATGGGTCACTGAATGGTTCCTGGAGTGTCTAGTTTTAGCTTACTTGTGTTAGACAGTTGCTCCTGTCCTAGCAGACCCATTCCCTGAAGTGGTCACAAGCATTGATGGGACAGAATTTCCTGACATTGATCTGTGCAGCTCCTCGGGACACAGCAAAATGATGGAGACTCATGAAGCATCTGTCCTTTTGACCAGCCTGTGTGTAGGGATTGTAACACAGTCTTCATTTTGATAAAGACACATGTAGTTACAAGAGAAGGTCTATGTGGTCAGCAAAGTGCCCTGTTACCCTTGTGGATATGAGAACACTCAGGGTCACAGGGGTTAAGGCCCATCTCACAAACTCCATGCTGGTCAAGGAACCAGACCCTCGCTGAACTCTTGTCATTGTTACTTATGGTTGAAGCACTTTTATCTCCAAATTCCATTTCACATCAGAAAACTAGAGTGCTTTGCTGTTTTTCCTTAGTCAAAGTTTTCTACTTTGAGACTACATGATGACTCTGTTGGAGTCATTTTAAACACCATATAGAGACCACACCATCCCACATAATTATTCAAGCAGATTCATAAGACCCTGTTATTTGAAATATGTGAGCCCATTGGTGATTGCCATTTGCAGCCAACTTTGGGAAACTCTTCTTTAAGGTGATCCAATATTTAGAAGATGAGCCTTTCTGCTCCTGTAAAGTTTACAGCCTCGGAAACCCTGTTCAGGCTCGCTATGGGTCGGAACTGACTCAACGGCACTTTACAACAACAACAACATTTAGAAAAAAAAATGTATCATCAGAATCAGTATATTTAGTCCCTTGTCTGGGTCTTTTCTAAGACTGCAGATTTCACAGGGCATGTGTTTAAAGAATTGCCTTCATTGTGGCTTGCATGGAGTTGATGCTCAGCGATCATAGGATTTGGATGTGTTATCTCCATATTTGGTAAAATCCATGTTTGTTATTCTTGTTACATAAACCAAAATTAATAGACCTTGAATGATGTATCACTGTCCAAGTGCAGGTCAGAATCCAGGAGCAATCTACTGTGTTCCTGGCATCTTGGGGACACCTATTTGAATTTTGCTCAGTACTAATTAATGACATAAGTGAGCAAAAAAATAAGTTTGGAAGTTATAACACATACACATGCTTAAACATGTGCTTATTTAATAAATTATAGATCTACATGAAATCTGTTTTAGGGTTACTGTTTTAAAGGAACAGGGCTTTTCAAAATAATACATTTGCTGAAACCCTTCTTGAAAATTAGACTTGACTCAAAATCTCAGCACTGGGATATTAGCAGGAAGTGACACTAGAGGAAGAAAAAGAGATAAAGGAAAAAGACCTGAAGAACTATCCTGTTGCTAGCTCTTGCTAAGTTGACCCCAACTCTTGGTGACAGCATGTACAATATAAAGAAATGCCACCAGTCTTTCGTGATCCCATGATGGCTATAAATTAGACTATTGTGGTTCATAGGACTTTCATGGGCCAACTTGCATAAATAAATTGGTAGACCTTGCTTTCTAGTCTGCCGTAGTTTGGAGCTTCACTGAAACCTGTTTATGATGATACCAAGATGCAAGTCTCCACTGACATATGGATGGTGGCTGTGCATAGGTGCATTGGCTGAGAATTAAACCTGGGTATCTCAAACAGAAAGCAAGACTTCTACCATTGATATTCATGGTAGATACTGTAGGAGTCTTGCAACATAATCTTCTTTATCCCTGACTGTCGAGTCAACCGCCGATCTTGCAGTTCAAACTGACCTTGCAGACCAGTGCTTATCCTACAATGCCACACTGGGCCTCCTTAACAACAATAACAACAACAACAACATCCCTGGCCACAAACCTCCTTCCCCATTTCCGTATCAGAGCACCAAGTCCTGTAGTTAATTTTTTAGGCTTTCTGAAACTGAGTGCAGAGACTTGTGAGCCCTGAATTTAGTTACCTATTTCTTTCCTAACTCTTGGATTTTTGATAAAAAATATTAAAAAGCATTAATCAAAAAGACAAATCAAAGACTTACAAATATGTGCAGCTACTCATTTGCTATCCCTTTATTTTTATGATGCTTTTACATTATTTTTCAGGAAAAATTATTCACTCTTTACGAATCACTTCATAAATCAGCACAAAAGTCAATTCCTATGAGGCAGAGGTCAAATATATTCCAGTTTCCTACATTCGTGAAGCTGCTACACCACTCTGCGTATGACACTGGCCACTATCCCTCCCCTCAGCACTCTTCTCTTCCCTGTTTTGGTTTAGCAATTTGCTGCAAAGTCTCATAGAATTCATGAACTAACTAACAGTTAAATGATTATTAAGGAAGTAACAGACTGCCACGTGGGATCCGGGTTAGGAAGCATGTAGGTAGAGTCTCCATCCTTAATGCAGGGCAGCTCTGTAAGCACCTTTTGGCTGTGCAAGCCTTTCTCAGTACGCCTTCTCCTCCAACCACCCCATCCCACACCAGAAAAGACTTCTCTTGACTCAGCAATCTGTCAGCACCAGGTTGGCGGCTGGACCCCTTTAGGGCCTGTTGCCACTGGTTCTGCTGTTTCCAGGACTCTATGTCTTAGTTTTACATTCCTTCACTCTGTTACTGCTCTTTTAGTAAATCCTTTGCTTTCTTTCTCTCTTTGCTTCTTCTTTATTCTTGTTGGCTCTCTTCCTGCTTCTTTCTGTCTGAAAACCTCAAGGGATGTTGCATATATACATGAATTCCAAGTCAATTGTCAATTTCAGTCATACCCTCCCTCCAACCCTTCCCAGGAATGTACCAATCCCATTTCAGTAGACTACAGATACTTCATTTGCGTAGTCTATTTACCAATCTCTGAAAGGGCAGGCAGCAGCTCAGGACCAGACCAAAAGTGTCCTTTTTTTTTTTTTTTTACAATTTACCCAGAAAATATTAATCAACCAGGACAAAAGTAACAAACCTTATGCAGTAGAAAACTAGGGCTTAGGGGAAAATCTCTCAAGCTGTTTTTCCAAAGAAACAAGTCAAAAGGGCACGTAAAGAAACTCATTTCCCCACAACTCTGGAAGTGGTACTGTTTACCTCCTTTCCTTTCTAAATCAGTTGTATTGTTGGTTCACGAATCCTATCAGCAGAGCACAATCAAGAAATTTACTTCCAAAGTTACTACATTAATAACCAAAGGGTTCATTGCTCTGCCACAGCTGGTACCATCTCTCAGCCTTTGTCCTAAATTGTTCCCCAGAGCTCCAGAGAGCTCACATAATATCTTTTCTTATTCCTTGTCCAATCCCTTCATTGCACTCTATTTTCAGAATTCTTCTACTCCTTAAATGATGATCCTATGTCCCCGAAATTGTATTTATGCACATTCTGTCACATGACTCACATAACTATCAGATAAATCTAAAATATAATTTGAATTGTACAAAGCCTCACATTATTTCTTTATTGTTATTTTCTGTGGAGTCAATTCTGACTCATGGTGACCCTACCTGTGCATAGTGTAAGGGTTCCCTCCTGGTGTGGCATATCGGGTTAATGCACTGGACTGTTAGTTAGTCTGAACTGCAAGGTTGGTGGTTCAAACTCACCAGCTATTCCTTGGAAACCCTACACAGGGTTGCTATGAGTCAGAACTGACTCGACAGCACTTAACAACAACAATAACAACAGAGTTGTCGGGTCTGTGAATTTTCAAGAAGCAGATCATCAGGTCTTTCTTGCAAGCCATCTCTGCGTGTGTTTAGATTGTAAATTTTTCAGTTAACAGTTAAATGCTTAACTGTTTGTTGTACTCAGTGATTCTCAAATTCTTTCTATATTGTTTAAAAACAGAAGGTCAAGCATCCAGTCAAAAACCTGGTAAAAAAACAAGACTTGGTGGAAAATCAACAGCAAAAATAAACAGACAACAAAAATACAAACAATTCAATAAAAGTATATGTAAAGGACTTAAACATTTCACCAAAAAGGATCTACAAATAGCCAACAAGTACACGAAATGATGCTCAAAATCATTCAAGATGCTGTTGAGTCAGTTCCAAATCTCAGTGACTCTAGGTACAACCAAATGAAACACTGTCTGGTCCTGTGCCATCCTCACAATTGTTGTTAGGCTTGAACCCATTGCTGCTGTCACTGTGCTAATCCACCTTGTTGCGGGTCTTTCTCTTTTTTGCTGACCTTTCACTTTACCAAGTATGAATCCCACCCCCTCCCACCCCGGCCAGGTACTGGTTCTTCCTGATAACATGTCCAAAGTGTGAGAGACAAAAATCTCACCATCCTGGCTTCTAAGGAGTGCTCCAGCTGTGTTTCTTTCAACACAGACTTATTTGTTCTTTTGGCAGTCCATGGTACCTTCAATATTTTCCCCCAACACCACAACTCAAATGAGTCAATTCTTCTAATTAAGTCTTTAGCCATTAGGCAGATGCAAATCAAACCACAATGAGATTCCATTTCATCTTCATTAGAATGACAATGATCAAAAGAAATGAAAATTACTGGTGATAAGGAAGTTGTAGAGAAATGGGAATCCTCATTCACTGTTGGTGGGAATGCAAAATTATAGAGCCTCTGTGGAAAATGGTTTGGCAGGTTCTCAAAAAGGTTAACATAAAACCACTATGTGGCACAGCCATTCTACTCTTAAGTACATGCCCAGAGACTTGAAGGCAATAAACATGTACATACGTACATGAATGTTTGTTGCATTATGTTCACGATAGCCAAAAAGACAAAATAATCCAATGTCCACCAACAGATGAATGAATAAGCAAATGGGGTATGTAGATGCAATATATAAATTTTAGTTATATATATGCAATGTAGACATCTCAGCCATAGAGAGAAATAAAGTTCTGATGCATATCACAACAGGAATGAACTTAAAAGTATTATGCTGAAAAGTTAAAAAAGCAGAGGACAATAAATGCTGGTAAGGATGTGAAGAGACTGGGATACTCCTACATTGCTGGTGGGAATGAAAAATGGTTCAGCCATTCTGGAAAACAATATGGTGCTTCCTCAGAAAGTTGGAAATAGAAATACCTTATGATCCAGCAATTCCTCTACTTGATATATATCCACAAGAAATATGAGCCATAACATGAATAGACATAATCACACCAATGTTTATAACCACACTACTCACAATAGCAAAAAGATGGAGACAGCCTAAATGCCCATCAATGGGAGACTGGATAAACAAACTTTGGCACTAAGTTTGGTACCTTGAAGAATAACAAGAGAGCTGCAAGCCACCACATAATATGGATGAACCTTGAGGACATTATGCTGAGTGAAATTAGTCAGTCACAAAAGGACAAATATTATATAAGGCCATTATTGTAAAAGCTTAAGAAACAATACCCATATTAAAAGGGAAAACAAATTCTTTGTTGGTTGCCAGTGGGTGTGAGGTGTGTGTTTTGGGGGGTTAGAGAGAGGGGACATTAGAGCACAGGGTATGGGGTAGACACATAGTTTGGATGTTGGGGAGGGCAATACATAAAAAGGGGGAGGAGGTGGAAGAACAAGGTAGATAGAGGAACCCTGAGACAGGTTTGCATGGGTTAAATGGGACAGAGGTAAATAGTGATGCATGCTTAAATTTGGAACAACTGGTCTCTGTGATATAGGGATTGAGGCATACTCTAAAGAGGGGAAAAATGCTAAGATGCTTGACTGTCTTATGAATATTGGTTTCCCTTGCCTTCTATTGTAAAATAGATACTTGAGTGGGATAGAAAGGAATGTTGGGAAACATAATTACAGAAAGCTTGTACGTCCATCTTCAGCCTATAACTGATTGGAATACCTAAAGGGGTTCTAGAATTTACCCTGTGAAATAGGCCTCTTGTGGAGTCTTTGCAGTGAATGTATAGGACCTTAGGTGGAATTCTGAGCCCCATCCAGAACCTTCTGAGGTAGGACTTTCCCACTAGACAAGCAGACCAGCCTGGAACAGCTAGAGCAACAGAAGACACATCTTCAAAGAAAGATCAGCAGGAAAAACCCAAAACAAAAATGGCAGTATGATTGGCTACTACAAGAACAAGCAAATTGTTCTATGGGAATCCATCAAGGCAAACAATCAAGTCCCTTCAGGACAAACCCCCCTCTAAGACTAAAACTCAAAGGGAACACATGAGTAGGCATGTAAGCTTGCTGGCGACCACATTAGTCTACTGGTGAGTGGAAGAGGGAGAAAGGCAGCAATGAAAAAACAGGCTGAGTTCAGCCACGTTCCATAGACTCCCATTGTGCTGGAGATAAGAGAGAGAAGAGGGAAGTCTGGTTGATCCTAAGTGTGGTGAGACCTGGGTACTCCTGAGCCCATGGACAAGGAGACAACCACACAGGACTACAGCTGAGAGTGAAGCTTCCAGCTGATATGAAGTGAGGGGAGATGCAAAATAACACACAAACTTGTAGATAGTATCCATTCAACCTACCTTCGATGGCTTGATGATCAGAACTTGACTTGAGGAAGATAAAAAAAAAGATTTTTTTTTTTTTTTTGATAAAGGAAACAAGTGTAAATTGCTACAGTTTGATGAACTTGACTATACTTTATGGATGTTGGTTAAGATACCAACAGAGAGGGAAGGGGTCTTCACATCAAGTATCAATGCTGTCCCCTCTATATACAGGGAAGATAGGAACAGGCAATTTAGACATTGGCTACCTAAAATAAGGGGGCCATAAAGGCACGAAGTCAATTTTTTTCAATTACAAATTTTCAAGAGGTTGTATAGTTTAAGAGTGTGCAAGGGAAGATAGAGTCCTCACAGAATAGTTTTCATCTTGTCTAGATGGGCCTGGTGAAAAGAGATGGGGATAAAATTCTTTTCAGTAGTGAGTAATTATTATCACAACTAATTGCAACTGTCACAACTGTAAAGGTAGAAGTTTTATAACAAAAACAGGGAAGTAGTTAATCTTACAGTGCAGAAACAGAGGACCTTAGGACGATCAAGGGAGAGGAACTCAAGCGGAATGCGGGACCCTATCCAGAGAAGCAACGACACCAGAGATGGAGGCAGTGATGAGGACATGGAGCAGCTGAGGACTCTAGATTCATAGAAAGAGGGGAACTGAGTGCTGGCAGCCAAGATGCAGGCTTGCAGAATATGCCCTTTGGCTGTTTAAATTATTACATATTCAAGAGGTTTTTTTGTGCCCAATTGCTTTCTGCACCCATCAGGGTGAAGTGAAGACAGACAAGACAGCTGAAATAAGGGAAATCTTTCTATAGGCAGATAGTTTACATACAATATGACATGCATATTTGTACTCTACAATGCTTTACAACCACTGTTGGTGAGGTAGATTTATGTCCTTACGTTATTTTCTGCATACAGCATTTTTTCATGGTCAACAGTATACCAAGTCTTTGCAACAATACTCCATTTCTGCCCTTAGAAGAATCTGCTGGACATCAATTCTGGATTTTCATAGAGAAGTAATGTGTCTGATACTGCAATGGATGTGTAGTCCCTTTTTCTTTGAAACCAAGGCCAGGGCAAGCTGTGTGACCTGTGCCTGACAGGACTATGTCAAGGAGTACCATGGATCCAAGTGGATAAAGTCAGAAAACAGTCAATTAGAGAGCTGTGGTCACAGTGCAGGTGGGTTGGAGATTGTGGGGAGACCCTTCACTCTGAGGGAAGAAGCAGGAGGCATTTGTATATCTGAACCTAAAGGACCTACAGGTGAATGGTGGCCTCAGTGGAGCAGGGTCACAATTGCTGGTATGACATCACAATGGAACTGCTATGTGATTTCCCAGCAGTGAGTGGACTCTGGAGAAGACACACCAGGAATCAGGGTTGAGTTAGGCTACTGACCAGGGTACAGGCATGAACTGAGTGCCAGACACAAAGGAAAATCAAGACAGTGGGTCAGGGCTCAAGTACACAGGAAGGAAGAAGGAACTCAGTAAGGTAGAGCAGGCTGAAAAGTGCACAAAAGGCCTGGAGCCAGGAGACCTGGGGGGCATTTGGTTTTGAGGTGAGGCTGTCTCCCAACAAGAATTTTCACACTTCTTATAGTACTGAGACCCAGATAACAACAGTGGGTAGTGATACACATCAGGGTCTGTGTAAACACATCTGGGCCCAAGTAGAGAGGAAGTTTCCCTAGAAATACCACACCCAGGATTAGAAAGAGGCTGGAGGGCCATAGCAGACTCCTTACCTGTCTTCTTGTGGGTGATCTCCATGGATAAACAGAGGGGTAAGCCCTAAGGGTGACTCTGGAGACTGTATTGAATGCAGCTAGGCTAACACCGAGATGCCACCTGTTGAGGTGACATCTTTGAACCTAACAGGTGGTAGTGGTTCCCCACCACAAAAGGAAGAGGCACAGCTGTGCCCCTTGACTCAAGGACCATGACCAGAGCTGTATGGCTCTCCCTGCTTCTGCTGACCCTTCCGGTGGCCCTGGAGGCTACAACAGACCCAGCCAAGAATCAGGTGAAGGTGTTGAGGAAATTGAAACCCATCAATTTCTCAAATGCTAATGTGAAACAGTGTCTGTGGTTTGCCGTGCAAGATTACAACAAAGAAAGTGAGGACAAATATGTCTTCCAGGTGGTCAAGATACTACAAGCCCAGCTGCAGGTAAAGGTGTTCTCTCCAAATAGAAAGACATTTACACATGGTGCCAGGTTGAAACCAGAATGGTCACAGGAAAGAATGGTAACAGGAAAAAATGATAGATATACATAATTTCTAAATATGTGAATGCTTAAGAATAGACACACTTACACAATAAAAATAATAGCAGTGTACACGTAGGAGGGGGCTTCAAAAAGTTCATGGAAAACTTCCATTATCTTTCCATTTTATTTTTACATGAAATTTTTGAAACCCCATTGTATACGCTAAGTGCGGTCAAGGTTGGTTTTAATTCATGTGATGTGCCGTGGAGTCGGTTTCAACTCATCGCGACGCTGAACAGGGTTTCCGAGGCTGTAAATCTTTACTGGGAGCAGAAAGCCTCATCTTTCTCCCGCAGAACTGCTGATAGTTTCGAACTGCTGACCTTGAGGTTAGCAGCCTGAATCATAACCATTACGCTACCAGAGTTCCTTTGTTATTGCTGTTGTTAAGTGCTGTCGAGTTGATTCTGACCCATAGCGACCCTGTATAGGGTTTCCGAGGAGCAGCTAGTGAGCTTGAACCACCTACCTTGCAGTTCAAATGGCTTTGCTGTCTGGCGCATTAACCCACAGCGCCACACCAGGACTCCTTTGTTGTTGTTGTGAAGTGCCATCGAGTCAATTCTGACCCAGAGCGACCCTGTATAGGGTTTCCAAGGAGCAGCTGGTGAACTTGAACCGCTGACCTTGCAGTTCAAATGGCTTTGCAGTCTGGCGCATTACAACCTATTATTGGGTTTCCAAGGAGTGGCTGGTGAGTTTGAATCATCAAACTTGCAATTATCAGTCTAGTGCTTATCCTACAGTGCCACATCAGGACTCCCTTGTATAAAGTACTATATATATGTGTGTGTGGCTATTGTCCTAAGTACTTAATATACATTGTTATTGTTGTTAAGTGCTGTGGTGTCGGTTCTGACCCATGGTGACTCAGCACATAGATTGAATAAGCTAGGTGAAAGGATACAAAACTTATCACACTTTAAAAAAATTTTAAAACATTCAGTATTCCCTTGTTCTGAAGAATTGCCTCTTGGTCTATATACAGGTGTCTTACAAGCACAAATAAGTGTTCTGGAATACGCATTCTTTGTCCATAGATTGTTATGATCCATACAGTCAAAAGCTTTCATAGTCAATAAAGTACAAGTAAACATTTTTCTGGTATTCTCTGCTTTCAGTCAAGGTCCATCTGGTGCCATCAAAGCTATAACTAGTTCTGCATCCTCTTCTGAATCTGGCTTGAAATTCTGGAATTTCCCTGTCAATGTATTGTTGCAACCGCTATTAAATTACCTTTAGCAAAAATTTACTTGCATTTGGTATTAATGACACTGCCCGATAATTTCTGCTTTCTGTTGAATCATCGCTCTTTGGAATGGGCACAAATATCGGTCTCTTCCAATCAGTTGACCAGATAGCTGTTTTCCCAATTTGTTGGTGTAGATGAGTGAGTGCCTCCAGTGTGTCATCAGTTTATTGAAAGATTTCAATTTGTATTCCATCAATTCCTGGAGGCTTATTCCTAGCCAATGCCTTCAGGACACCTTGGGCTTATTCCTTCAGTATCCTTGGCGCTTGATCATATGCTATCTCTTGAAATGGTTGAACATTGACCAATTCTCTTTAGTCCAGTGACTGTGTATTCCTTTTATCTTCTTTTGATGCTTTCTGCATCATTCAATATTTTGCCCATGTTGCTATGATGGTGGTTGATAGGTGCTGTCGAGTCTGTTCTGACTCATAGTGACTCTATGTACAACTGAATGAAACACTAGCGATACTTCACCATCCTCACAATTGTGGTTGTGCTTAAGTTAATTGCTGCTGCCTCTGTGCCAATCCATCTCATTAGAAGTCTTCCTCTTTTTTGCTGACCCTCTATTGTACCAAGCATGATGTCCTCCAGGGGTGGGTTTCTCCTGATAACATGTTCAAAGTATGAGAGATGAAGTCTGGCTTCTAAGGAGCATTCTGATTGTACTTCATCCAACACAGATTTGTTTGTTCTTTTGGCAGTCCGTGGTACTTTTAATATTCTTTTCCAACATGATAACTCAAATGTATCAGTTCTTCTACAGTCTTCTTTTTCATTGTCCAAATTTCATCCACATTTGAGGCTATTGGAAATACCATGGCTTGGGTCTGTTCAAATGACTGCCTGCCTCTTGTTCTATTTCTATGGACAGGTTTCTCATAAGCTTAATTATGTGTTTCTGGTATTCTCTACTTTCAGCCAAGGTCCATATGACATCCTTCAATATTGCAAGTTGAGGCTTGGCTTTTTTCTTCAGTTCTTTCAGCTTGAGAAATGCTGAGTTGTTGCAGACCGTGTAAGACTAGTCAGAGGTTCGAGGCCCTCTAGGGCTGAGTGTAACAAATGAGGCCACTGGCAGTTAATGGAAAATTGCTTTCATCTTAATTTTCAGGTATATATATTAAATTAATACACTGGAGCCTTTGAAAATCCACAGATAAATGTGATATTTTCCTAAAGCGGAGACTAAAGGTTGCAAGGTTAAACCTTTCTCCAAAGGATTAACTAAAGGTTGCAAGGTTAAACCTTTCTCCAAAGGATTAACTAAAAATATCTTAGCTACTTCTCGGTTCTTTGTTCTATAGACAAAGAACCCATCCTCCCTAATCCCTTTTCCAGGTGCAGCCCATTCACCTGGGCGTCTCCTACAGAACTCTCAACTTCCCCCAACTGACCTCAGGGGCTATAGATATGTTAATTGGGCCTGAGAATCCAAGTTGCTGGCCTGAGATTCGAACCAGTGAAGTACAATGTAAAGTTACCTGAATGTCTGGAAAATTACTGATGTTAGCTGTATCCTGTGTTAGTCCCTCCCAGCTTGGTGTGAAACGCCTCCCCTAAATAAAACAGAGGCCTGGGCCTCCCCAGGTGTGCATTACTGGTTGGAAGGCATAGAGTAAAGATTGCGGTGCGTTACGGGTTGGAAGGCATGCATTAAAGATTGCAGGGCAGTGAGTCGCTGCTTGCAGAGGCCATGATGCCTGTAGTCCCAAGCCTGCCCACCAGTGATGTATCCACCCTGGTTTTGGGGTGCCTCATTGTCTCCCTTCTTCTGTTTGTCTGTGTATTCTTTCGCTATCCCTATCGCCGCTGGATCTCCCCTCCTCGTGAACCAAACACGTGTGACAACTATGTCGAGGTCAGACCCCGACACTGAGTGTATTCTTTCCTTTCAGTGTTTTAACTGCAGGTCTTTGCACATTTCATTATAATACTTGACTTTGTCTTTTTAAGCTGCTCTATGCAATTTTCTGTTCAGCTCTTTTACCTCCTCATTTTTCCAGTCACTTTTGCTTCTCTACACTCAAGAGCAAGTTTAAGAGTCTCTTCTGACATCCACTTTAGTCTTTTCTTTCTTTCCTTCAAAGAACATTTGCTTTCTTCTTGTATGATGTTCTTAATGTCATATCAGAACTCTTCTGGTTTCCTTTTGGTCACTTTTGTTGTTGCTGTTAAGTGCCATAGAGTCAATTCTAACTCACAGTGACCAGAGGAGCAGCTGGTGAACTTAAACCTCTGACCTTGTATTTCAAGTCAACCTTGCAGTCCAGTGCATTAACCTTCAGTGCCACACAAGGATTCTTGTTGTTGAGTTGGTTCTGACCCATAGAGACCCTGTATAGGGTTTCTGAGGAGTGGGTGGTGAGCTTGAACCACCGACCTTGGTTCAGTCCAGCACATTAACCCACAGCGACACACCAGGACTCTGGTGGATCACAAAAGAGCATAATTATGAAAAATTCTTAGAAATTATCAAATACCTTGAAGGAATTATTTTCTGAACCTGGGAATCTCAGGATCATAGTCTTGAGGGACACCATGGTCAATTGGCATAGCAGAGTTCATAAAGACAATGCTGTACATCCTACTTTGGTGAGTAGCAATTGGGATCTTTAAAACTCATGAGCAGCCATCTATAAGATGCAACTACTGGTCTCTCCCTATGTGGAAGAAAGAAGAATAGTGAAAATTGAAGACACCTGGAATCAATTAGTTCAATTGACTAATTAATAGATCACATGAACATCAGTCTCCATGACCCTGAGAACTAGATGGTACCCTTCTATTGATACCACCTGCTCTGAAAAGGATCCCATTGAAGGTCTTGGGTAGAGTGGAAGAAAATATGGAACAAAACTCAAAATCATAAAAAAGGGCAGACTTACTAGCCAGATAGAGACTAGTGGAAGCCCAATACTATGGTCCTTGGTCACACTTCAGGTCTAGAACAATTCTTGTGGCTCAATTTTCAGTCATGTAATAGATTGTTTGGGAGGAACAACAACACTGGTGAGGTACATATACCATAGAATGATCAACTAGTTGAGATCCAAAGGACAGCATTTAACCATGGACAAAATTCATGGGTTTTTTTGAACAAAATAGGAATGGAAACAAGAAGCATGGAAAGGAAGTGGGAAAAGTGATGTTACATTGAGGAGGATGCAAAAAAGATGAAACGAAGTGTATGATTTGTTGAATGTAAAACAATCTGCTCTGTAAACCTTCACTCAATTCACAATACAAACTTAAAAAATAAGACAGGTATGGAAAGAGCAAGGTAGAGATGGATACAGGAATGATAAAGAGGAAGAGCAGGAAGAGGGTAAGGTGAGGACGAGAATGAGAGTACGTGCACTCATTTTAGTGTTTGTTGAAGCTTTAAAAAATAAAAGTAATCTTTATCTTAAATACATTACATGATTACTCACCAACAGGTCACAGATCGTATGGAATACTTTATTGATGTGGAAATTGCCCGAACTACTTGCAAAAAGCCTTTAAATAACAATGAAAACTGTGTCATTCAAGAAAACTACAAGTTGGGGAAGGTAGGTGACAAACTGTCAGTGAGTGCTTGATTGCTTTGAGCCACAGAGAGAGAAACTTGGGCTGCTCAGACCTCTCTTTGAGGTCAATCCTATGACTTTTAGAGCTGAGAGTATGGGAATAAAAATGGGAATGAAAGTGGTGGGTAGTTCTAAGACTTCTCGCACTCTTTGTCCCAGGGATAGAATGTGGCCAATATCACTCTGCGAGAAAGGGTTTTACAGTACAGGAAGACTTGACACCACTGAACATCTTTCCCTTTGCACTTAAACTAGAATCCACTGGCCCTATGGTGCGCATTACAGAGGAAGCACAAAAGGAAGTGTTCATTTATTCATCTGCTCATAAAAACTTATGAATCCTACTTTGCACCAGATCCTGGAGGCTCAGCAATTAGATCCTCAAGGTCCCAGCCATACATTAATCTTATTTCAGTCAGGGTTTCCATGAGAGTCAGGAAACTTCCCAAAGACACTCCATCAAGGCTGACTGGTCTTGGGCTTTTAGCTTCAAGTATGCTTTTCTTGATCTCAGAGATGGGCAAGAGTCCCAGATTGTTCAACCTGACAGTTGCTTAGTCCAAGAAAGACACATCTGACCCTTTCTTTAATCTGGTAGTTCTCCAACTTGAATAGGCATTAACATCACTTGGAGACTTTGATAAAACCCAGAGGATTTGGCTTCACCTGCAGAGTTTGTGATTCTTCTGTTTTGAGTTGGGTCCTAGAATTTGCATTTTTAGTAAGTTCCCAGCTGCTGCTGCTGGCCTGGGGACCACACTTAGAGAACTGGTTTATATATTAAATGACACAGGAAATTTATGGTAAGCTAGGGGTGGCACTGCAGGTTAATGTGCTGGACTGCAAGGTTGGTTTGAACCTCAAAGTCAGTGGTTCAAGCTCACCAGCCACTCTTCAGAAACTACACTGGGTAGCTATGAGTCAGAACTGACTCCAAGGCACTCAACAACAACAATTAACAAAGTACACACCCATCATGTTTGATTAAAACTGCCTCCTTATGCTAATACTAAACTAGTAGGATAATCACTTGATTGCTGACCACAAGGTTGACAGTTCAAACCCACCAGCAGCTCCTTGAAAATTCTATATAGGGTTGTTATGAATCAGAACTGACTCGACAGTACTTAACAACATCATCATCATTTCAAGTTAATAGTAGGTACCACTAAGACAAATATTTAAAGGAGTGTGCTTTAAAGCTATTTAATCATCCTGGTGTGGTGCTATAGGCTAAGCACTGGATTGCAAATCACAAGGTCAATGGTTCAAACCCATCAGCTCCTTTTCGGAAACTCTAAACAGGGTCGCTATGAGTTGGAATCGACTTAACTGCACTTAACAACATTTATGCTTTACTATCTTATGCTTATGTTTTACTGTTATGAGAAGGGTGGTTATTTTAAATTCATATTTTCTACTGAATTATTTGTTATTACAAAGAAGGTGTTGCTTTTTGTCTGTTTGTCTTGGTTCTAGCCATATGGAGTGAGCCCACTCAATAGGTTTCCATAGACTCTATTGGTATTTAAGGCATATGTGCATATTTATCAATAATGAAAACTATTCCTTTTTTCCAAGCCTTTGGAATAACATTGAATAATAAAAATAATGGGTACTTTTTGTTATTTCCATCTTTAGTGGGAATATCACCAGTATTTATATCTTATTATTCAATGTTATATCAGGTGTTCATTTTTGATGTTTCTTTGATTCCTCTTTACTAAGAGTTGGTAGGTGCAAAAGAATATTTAATAGAATATTCTCTCTTAATTTAAAATAACAAGTATATTGAATAATTATTATTCTTTGTCCTACTAGTATAATTTAAATAATAGATTCTCTAATGTTGAACCAAGAGGAGCCCTCGTGGCATAATGGTTTAGTGCTTAGCTGCCAACTGACAGGTTGGTTGAAACCCACCAGCTGTTTTTTAGGAGAAAGATGCAGTAGTCAGCTTCCATGGAAACCCTGTGAGGAAGTTCTAGTCTGCCTTATAGTATCACTGGGAGTTGGAATTGATTCAATGACAATGGGCTATTACTACTGAGCCATATTTGCATTTCTGGAACGTGGTGCATTTGTTTTGTATGAAATAATAGAAATCAATATGTTATCATTTTATTTAGGAATTTTGCTTTTTTATATACTGATTTTTTTAATATATACTGAGTACTCTCAAACCTACTTAATGTCACGAATCAATTGGAGCACATAGTAAACACACTTGAACATATGGTAGATACATGCATGCATACATATGTACACACACACACATACATGCATGCACATGTCCACATATACATGTTTCTGGAGGTATCTTGATGACTCTATTTAAGATGATCTTTGTTCTTTTATTCAGTACTTCCACCTGTCTACATATGTATGTATGTACGTGTGCATGTATGCATGTATTTATTTACCTATCTATCAACTATCATTTGAATGTCTATCATTTATCACACACACATAGAGATTATTCATTTTTCATTTCAATGGCATTTTGAATGTGAGAAACTAGAATACTCTAATTCGCTCTTACTCTGACTTTCTATTAGGATCAAAGGGATTATTTAATAGTTAAAATAGCATACATTTGCCTATATCTGGCATGACATTGCTTTATTTACATTATAGAAGATTTTAAAGGTAATTGAAAATAAAATTAACTTTGCTTCTAATCGCCTACACAAATATTGTAGTATTTATTGTTTATACATGATTAATAGTTGAACAAAAGTCAGTCTTTATCTGCTGACTAGAGCTATACAAGCTCAGTATATTCCTGGGGACATTCTTCAGTCACAATGCATCTTCCAGCATATTTCTAAAGTGAAACCTAACAACAGGACATTTTATTTTCTTATTATCTTGAAACTGATTATAGTTGTTGTTATTGTCTTTTTCAGAAAGTAATTTGCAGCTTTTTGGTAGGAGCGCTTCCCTGGAATGGTGACTTCACAGTGATGAAGAGAAAATGTGAGGATGAGAAAATGTGAGGATATCTAAGGGCTTCTGGAACACACCTGCAATCCCACGGTCTACCTGTCTCTTTTTAAAAAGGGCAGTGGTATGCACAAGGCTTTTACCAACATGCTTTGCTCACACCTTACTTGCTGCTTGTCTATTTTTTGAGGGTGGGGTCAAGTTGTTTTATTTAGGAGTTTCTGGAGGACCAAAGGATAGGCACACTAAGATCAGATGACTGCGATCTGGATGGGATCTTCTGGACATTGCCACCCATTGAAAGAAGCTCTGCTTGTTTTTTGTTTCTAGTTTCATGTGATGTGCATGTGGATATGGGAATTTCCAATTCCTATTTCTGAAATCAAGGTAGGAGTCACTCACTTTTGGTCAGTTGATTGTCCACCATCAGGAATGTTTGTTAGCAAGTACAAATAATGGAGTAAGGGTCTTATTTCATTTCCCACTGCAAATCTGAGCAGGAATTTTGTTTGATTGGTTAATAGTCCCTTAGTGAACTCTACAGGCTCTTTGGATGCCTCCTTGGTATGAGGCTACTTCCTGTATAACAGTCCTGAGTGAACAGGTTAATTGAGAAAGCCCTTTGTCAGAGCTGTCTGTTCTCTCCAGTGGGGACTTTGTGCATGGGGGATGGATTTATATATTTTTATTAAGCAAAATTAAGCAATGGTCACAAAGAGAGAAAGATGCAGGCAATAAAGCCTCGAAAGTAAGCTACATTTATGATATGTGTCTCTGCCTGTATATGTTTGTGCACAGCTGTCGTGGTCCTATGTTGGGTTCCAGCCTTGACAAGGAAGTGTGGGTGTCACGAAGAAGGGAGATCTGGCGGCGAAAGGGATAGAGAAAGAGAGAGATGAAATATATACAAAAAAGACAGACACATAGATATGATGCAAGCTGGCAGGTAGACAGATCTGCAAACATATTGCCTAGCATTGCACAGCATTGCACACAGATCTAAATCTACCTCAGTCTTTTATTCTCTTTTTTAGGGAGGGATTTGTTACAAAGGAAGGATGTAATTCACAAAGGGGGAGGATGTGATTAAGACAGGATATGGAACTGAAATGTGATTAATCATTCAAAACACGACATAATGATTCACAGAAACAACTTTTAAGATATTTTCATGGTTTTCTTAACAATCTAACATTTTTATTTTTATAGAAAAAAGGTTCAATCAAGCTGTTATATATTAACTTTTAGGCTTAAATGATCTAGAGCAGCGACGTGTGGTTTCTTAAGGATACTTAATATAAAGCAAGTTTCCTGAAAGGAGCCAAGCTGTCTCTGTACACTTTGCAAACTTTTGTTTGTGAGCAAGATCTCAGGCACCGGGCTTCATTTATCTTTATCTAAAATGCTACATTGTTCTTAATTATCACATTCCTAAGTATTTTCAGGAGGAAGGAGAGCATCTGGGTTAAACTGATTATATTCAGAGGCGATTTAATGGGGCTGCCATTGATCAACCCAGGGTCTGTGTATGCTGTCCCCAGCACACAGCCACATTGCCTGAGAGAGAGTGAAATTTTTTAGATTGGGGAATATGGAGAAGGAAGTATGTAAGTGAACAGGAAGCAAAGGAGATGAAATTCATTTGAAGAAATAGTTAAAAATGGACATGTCACAAACCACCAAACATTTTGAAAACTACACAAAATTAGACAAAATAGATGATTGGGACATACTAAAAATTAAAAACTTATGTGCATCAAAAGACTTCACCAAAAGAGTAAAAATGGAATCCACAGAATGGGAAAAATCTTTTGCAATGACACATCAGACAAGGGACTCATTTCTAAAATACATAGGAAACTATAACACCTCTACTAGAAAAAGACAAATAACGCAATTTTAAAATGGGCACAGGACATGAACAGACACTTCACCAAGGAAGAGATCCAGGCAGCCAACAAACATATGAAGAAATGTTCACGATCACTAGCAATTAGAGAGATGTAAATCAAAACAACAATGAGATATCATCTCATACCAACAATAACAGCAAAGATCAAAAAAGTAGAGGCCAATAAACGCGGGCGAAGATGTGAAAAGACTGGGACCCTCCTGCATTGCTGGTGGGACTGCAAAATGGTCTAACCATTTTCCCATTCTGAGGAAGCAATATGGTGCTTCATCAGAAGGTTGGAAATAGAAATACCTTATGATCCAGTGATTCCTCTACTTGGTATTTACCCATGAGAAATACTAGCCATAACATGAGTAGATATATGCACACCAATGTTCATAGCAGTGCTATTTACAACAGCAAAAAGATGGAGACAGCCTAAGTGCCCATCAACTGAAGAATGGATAAACAAACTGTGGTACATACACACAATTGAATATTATGCTACCTTAAAGAACAACAAGGAAGCTGTAAGCTACCACATAACATGGATGAACATTGAGGACATTTTATTGAATGAAATTAGTCAGTCACAAAAGGAGAAATACTGCATAGGACCACTATTGTAAAAGACTAAGAAAAAGAACCCATACTAAAAGGAGAGGGGTATTCTTTGCTGGTTACTGATATGAGGGGGGCAGGGTGAAGGGAGGGAGGGGAAGGTGGAGCACAGGATAGAAAATAGACACAGGATAGTTTGGGTGCTGGGGAGGGAGGCAATTCATAAGAAGGGGGACGAACATGAAAGAACAAGGCAGATGGGAGAACAGTTAAGCAGCTTTGCGTGGGCTAAGTGGGACAGAGGTGAATAATGATGTATGCACAACCTTGGAACAACAGGGCTCTGGGATACAGGAGATGAGGCATGGTTGGAATGAGTAAAAGGGGGGAAATAATGTTAAGATGCTTGGCTGTCTTTTGAATCTTGGTTTCCCTTGCATACCATTATAAAATAGACACTTGAGGGAAGAGAAGGGAATAGCCAGAAATATCACCATAGAAAGCTTGTAAGTCTGTCTTCTGCCTATAACTGATTGGCATACCTTAAATGGTGCTACAACTTTCCTGTGGAGCCTCTGTATTGCATAAGACCATATGTGGAATTCTGAACCCCATCCAGAATCTTCTGAAGTGGGAAACTTCCACTTGAAAGGACAAGAAGACAGTGTGGGGTGGCTAAAAGAACAGAACATACTTCTTGAAAGAAAGATCAACAGGAAAATTACAAAATAACAACAATATGACTGACTACCACAAGAACAAGCAAGTTGCCCACCCAGGAGACATCAAGGCAAGCGATCGGGTCTCCTCAGGGCAAACCCCCTTCCAAGACTAAGACTCAATGGGAATACATGAGCAGACATGCGGTCTGATTGGTGACCACATTGGTCACTGACAAGGGGAAGTGAGGGAAAACAGCAATGAAGCTGCAAGCCAAGTCCAACCACATTCAATACACTCCTGTTAACTCGGGTGGAGACATGGTTGGCCAGCAGTGTGGCAAGACCTGGGGACTCCTGGACCCAGAGTCAGTGACATAGCCACAGAGGACTAGAGTGGAGACTGAAACATCCAGGTGATAAACACAAGAACACCCACACTTGCAGATAATACCCACTTGACCTGGCTTCAATGGCAGGATGATCAGAGCTTAACTAGAAGAAGAAAAAAGAGGAAAAAAAGAGTAACAGGATACAATTTGATGAACTTGGCCTATAACTATAGATGCAGTAGCTCAAAAGTGGAAACTAATCTTTACAGCGAGGATCATTCCCACCCCCTCTATACACAGGGTAGACAGAGATGTGCAACTTGGACATTGGCTACCCAAAATTGGAGAGCTACAAAGGCAAGAATTGTCTGGTTTACAAGATTTCAAGAGGGAGCCTAGATCCAGAGGGCAGGGAGGAATGTAGCATCTCCACTGAGTAGTATCCAATCTGTCTGGGTGGGACTGATGAAAGGAAATGGGGGATATCACTCATGTGGTACAATAGTGAATAATTACTATCAGGACTGACTGTGAGCGTTGGAAATGTAAATGTAGATGTTTTGTAGCAAAAGGAGGGGAGTGGTTGACTTTACAGGCCAGGAGCGGAGGTCCCTGGGACCATTAAGGGAGAAGAGCGGAGTACGGGACCCTACCCAGAGAAGCAGTGATGCCAGAGATGGAGGCAGAGACGATGACATGGAGAGATGCAGCATTTGGGAACTCTAGACCCAGAGAGGGAGAGGGGCTGTGTGCTGATGACAAGGCTTATGGGTGGCAGGGTATACCCTTTGGTTGTTTGATGATGCATGGAGGGGATTGTAACCATGGCAATGAAACGATATAAGATAGGATGAATGTAAAGCTAATATTCTCCCATGTAAACGATCACATAATTAACAATAAAACGGTTAAAAAAAAAAAGGACATGTGTGCTTTAAATGTAGGGATCTCCAGTGGCATAGTGGGTTAAGCATTGGAATCCTCTAGCCACTCCTGGTATGGTGTTGTAGAATAAGCACTTAAATGCAAATTCACCAGCCGCTCCTTAGAAACTCTATACAGGGTTGCTATGGGTTAATGGCACTTAACAACAACAACAGCCACTCTGCAGGAGAAAGATGTAGCAATCTGCTTTCATAAAGATTTACAGCCTTGGAACCCTACACGGCTGTTCTCCTCTGTCCTATAGGGTTGCTATAAGTTGGTATAGACTGTGGGATGGGTTTGGTTTGGGGCATTTTAAATGTAGTGTTGAATATGACTCAGAAGATCAATTGTATTTTAATTGTACACAAGCTTGAGCCAGGCTGTGCTTCACACAAGCAGGCGGGTAGTGGGGATTTCAGTATTTCTATGCCAGACAGGGTAAATCCACAGAATTTAGATTGTACTTTTTCTGTTTTTGTTTGTTTGTTTGTTTGTTTTGTTTTTTCTGATTCAACACATTTTTACAAAGTTGAGAACACTACTTAGAACAGCAGGGGATGAGTGGAATTCATCTTTCCAAGGTATTTGTTTTCCTCTGTCTTGTCTCTTCCCTTCTTCAGCTTCTGTCTGCAATTCTTTCTTCCTTGACCATCCCCACCCTCGTGCTCCCTGCTGTCCTC